ATGTTTTCCCCCAGTGCGGGGGGGAGGGGTCACGGGGCCAGGGGCCGGGGGCCAGGGGCGCGGCCGAGCGGGAGCCTCGTGTGCTTCCATCTCCAGTGCTTTCACCGGTTGGCCACCTTTGGTTTGGAACAAAGTGCCCAAAGGACGGTTCACGCCACGTTCGCTCACCACGGAACCACACGCACACGTCCCAGTCCCTGAGCCTCGGACAGGGACTGGGTTACGCTCAGCGCCCATTGCAATTAACACCACAGCTCCTAGGCTCACGAGGGAGCCTCGTGTGCTTCCATCTCCAGTGCTTTCACCGGTTGGCCACCTTTGGTTTGGAACAAAGTGCCCAAAGGACGGTTCACGCCACGTTCGCTCACCACGGAACCACACGCACACGTCCCAGTCCCTGAGCCTCGGACAGGGACTGGGTTACGCTCAGCGCCCATTGCAATTAACACCACAGCTCCTAGGCTCACGAGGGAAGGGCTGGCTGGAGAGCAAACACACGCACGCTGTCAGAGCAGTGCCAAGGACAAATGTATCACTCGGGCAGGGACACTCGGGCACCCGCCATCCGGCATGCGACTCATGCAGCAGCTAATGGAATTAGACAATGACAGACGTTTTCTCAGGGCTGTAGTAAGTAGATTTACATATTTTCCACCTTGGCCAAAGGCGCTGATGGAAAATTAGCTGGCGTGGCCTCCGAACGGTGGAGACAGACAGACAGACGTGAGGTTTGCTGGCACAGGGAGCTCTCCAGAGGAATGAGCGTGGCACGTACCTGTGCTTACTGATTGTTGAGAGCAGTGTGAAGACTTGGGGCTTGGATTAACCCTCTTGCTGAACAGCCAGGCGGAGCCAGGGGTCAGATAAGCTAGTTCTCAGCCTCAAAACGGTTGTGCCCTCGTCTTGGATCGGGTGTAAGCCTTGCCAAGGTTGCCCGGGCCTGGCATCTCCGGGCCAAGCTCAGTGCATCTCACCAAAGACGCTGGGTGGGGAGGGGAACTTACAGTTCAGGGGCAATTCTGCAGTGGCACAACTGGTTTTTGTTCCAAACCAGAACCAAAGCAAAGCATTTTCCGTCCACGGGGAATTGTTGAGCACACAGGCTGTCGGGTCACTGATATGCTTCCCTTTGATTTCCACTTTTTAAAATGTGGATTTGGCTGTAACTTGTCGCACAGTGTTACATTTAGGACATTTTTAAATGAAAAGGAGCTTGAACCCCTCCTTCCCCCGGAGATTTCCTGCTCCGATCATGTCGGAATCAGCCCTGTCGATGTATGCAACATGCTTCCTTTTTTTTTTTTTTTTCCCCCCTCCAAGGCAAAAGTCCTCAGCTCTGCCGGAAGTTCCAGTTTGAATGCAACTACTTTGTCCCCTGGAAAACCACTTGGTCTGCAGGGAGCGGAGCAGCTCTCAATCCAGCCTTTCTAAGCTGCCACACAAGAGCTAAAGCGCTGGCACTAGCCGCTCCGTGCTGGCTGACAAGTCCCTCCTGTCCTTCGGCTGGCTGGCTTTCCAATCCTCGCTGACTGAAGGAGTCACAGGGAGGAAACGGGGCTGATTTCCAGCGGCTGGCGAAGAGATCCTGGTGGTCTCGGCAAACGCAGGGTCAGCGCAGCACAGCCTGTCCCGGGGGGGGGGAGCGGGTACCCCCCTTCAACGTCTAGGGAGCCATGTCAGCGCTCTAACATCCAGGCCATCCCGCTCAGAAATCGACACCAGCTGCTGCCCACGGCTGGCTGCCCCGGGGAACGAAGCTCCTTTTCCCCGACTTCTTAGCTTAGAAGGCAAACTGGCCTCCTGGTGCGACCAGCCCGACGGGCTGTCTGCATTGTCAGGCCTGGCCTCCGCAAGACGGGGAGGAAAGTGCTCCACTTTACTCAGCGCCGCGAGGTCTCCGCTGGGCCTGTGCGGCCGACTCCGGACGCCGCGCCGCAGGGAAGGTGTGTGCACCGTGGAGAGCGCCCAGGATGACGGAGGATTTTAGAAGCTGGTCTGTGAGGACAGGCTAACGGACCCTGGCACGCTCTGTCGGGAGGACGAGGCAGGCGGGGGACCGGGTCCCAGGCAGGATGGCCAAGGGCGAGGGACCTCAAAATGGTGTGTCAGGGACCATCTCAGCGGTTACAAGGCCTGGCCCGACGCGGGGAGGGGGCTTCGCTGAGTGTCGCCGACAAGCATCCCCTTACCGGTGAAACGGTCAGCCGGGTACTCCGGCATCCCTAGCCCAGACCCGACAGCACAGCCCTTCCCCCACGCCTGGCCTCCAGCCTTCTCTGCCCACCCCCCTCGCGCTGGCGCCTGGGGCAGCGGAGCCAGGAGCAGGCGTGGATGCGCTGTGCGTGGGGCAGGACTCGACCCAGGTGGCCTCGGCTTGGATCTCAGGGCTCCCCCGGAGCTGCCTTGCCCCCAGAGCACCCTGCAGGGTGCCCGGCACTGCTGAGGACCAGGGAGAGACTGGCTGGGGCAGCGGCACACACGGC